AGTCCTGCCCCTCGGTAGGTTCCCCCTGACACACTCCATGGAAGAAGCAGTACACTCACTGGGGCTCCTTCCCCACCCGGGCTTTGGCGCTGGGTACTCTTGCCCAGACCCCTGAGTACTGGTGCCTCACAGGGACACAGCAGAGAGCCCAAGAACCAGGGCTCACACAGGGCTCCCTAGAGGGGTGTCCCTGTGCTGGTTTCAGGTGCTGGCGTGGGGCCTCTCCCAGGGAAGGTGCCAGCCCCCACCCGTGGGCACCACCAGCCAGGCTTGAGAACTGATTTGTTTCTCTTGGACCTTAGGAACTGTGGTCCCCAGTCCAGCCCTTCGCAGGAATGTGCTGCGCCCAAGGCAGGGAAGGGCTGTTGAGCTCTGCCCCCTCCGTTCATCTCCTCACTGGATTTGCGTGAGCAAGAAAGATAGGCCCAGCAAGGATGAGGGCCCAGCATGGAGGGGCAGAGCCTTGATCCTAGCATCCGGCCCAGACCATGGGTGCTAACTGCACCCAGAAGCCAGGCTTCTGCTAGAGAATGGCTGCTGGTGGCCAGGGTCTCAGGGGATGACCTAAGGCATGGGCAGGGCCACGCCAAGCCCTAGGAAGCACGTGTGAGCAACCCATATGTAGGGTTGTGGTTCCATGTGTAAAAGTGACTCCTGCACCAGGAGGGAGGAGCAGGAAGCCTGGGTGTGGGAAAAATCCCCAGCCCAGAGGCCAGGCCCAGCCATGGCTCCTGCTGGCTAGTGACACTGGGTGAGGCCCTGGCCCTTTCTGTGTCACCCGAGCACGTTGGTGCATGCAGGCGTATGACGGAGGGGGACAGCACAGCACAGGGAGACGTGGTATCGCTCCTGGCTATCTCACAGAGCACTCCCCGGGAGCAGTCGCCTGGCCCCTGCTGGGGGAAGAGACAGAAGAGAGGTATGACATGCTGAGTCACACGGACCTGGGACCCAGGCTGAGCCCCACCAGGCGATGCCACCCACCCCTCGGGTCTCAGCTTAGATAGTTCCTACCAGGTTGGTCCTCTTGTGGCCCCCCAGCCACACATCTCTTCACCTCCCAGGTTGTCACACCACAGAGCAATCAACGCCTGCCTCCCCTTCTCCAGCTGGCCTGGGGACCCTGTTTCTCTCCTCTCTCGGTCTCTGTTATGTCCTCAGTGCCTGGTACATGGTAGGTCCTTATGAAAGACTGTTGAATGATGGAATGAGCGCCTCCAGCAGAGGGGAGCATTTTGGAGCCCCTGGTGTGTGTCCAGCACCTGTCCACATGGCAGCCTGAGGCTGAAGAAGCCTGTTCCCCATGCCCTGAGGTTTGCAGGCATCTCCAGGCCGGGGTCTGGCTTTTCCAGCTGGGCCCAGGGCTGCACTTGCAGAAGGCTTGGCATGATGTGCCGCCCTGGGCCAGGCACTTCCATCTCTAGGCCCCCTGTGCCCTTGTGTGATCCCAGTGGCCTAGCACTGGGGAAGAGGACAGGAAGGCAAGGGGCTGGGGTGTGAGCAGGGAAAGCTCTGCTCCAGACAGAGGCCAGGGCTCATCCCAGCACCGGCTTCCCGTCCAGCAGAGTTCAGGGAACGGGTGGGGCTGGGGGGGCAGAGGTGCTCTCTGCCCCCTGCCCCTTGCTCTTCTCTCGGGGCTTTATTTCTTCTGCCAACGTCTAGATGGTACAAGTCAGGCCCTGGCCACAGGAGCTGGGTGAGAGGGGCTGGCTGCGAGAGCTCGGGCTCTGCAAAGAGGCTGCTGTCTCCGTGAGAGGAGGGAAGAGGGGACGGACAAAGGCCAGTGGTGGTAGGAAGGAGCGCCTGAGACCCCGAATGGACCTGCCCCACTGCAGGGGTGTCCAGGCACCCACCTGGCCCTCTCTGGCCCTCATTTCCTCACCAGTGAAAGGGTGTTGGGAGGGGGGTGATGTAAGGGATGAACTCCACTCCCCACTCCAACCTGAACTGCCTCCAAGGCCTCGGCCAGGTCACCACCTACAGGAAGTCCTCCCTGACTGCACTGCCCCGTAAGTTCCCAGCTCTCTAAAAGCTCCTGCCGTCAGAATTAGTCATTTTCTCCTGAAAGTAAGCTGCATTTGGGGCTGCTATTTATGCTTCTGCTAGAAACCACCCTGGACAGGCAGCTTCCATCCTCATGGGCAGCCCCTCCATGGACACAGGCCCTTGCCCGTGGAGCTGGAGCCCAGCTGCCGCCTCAGGCACACGGCCACAGTGAAGCATGAGGCACCTTTGGGGGCAAGCCAGGTGTGCAGAGGCCTTGCCCACCCCAGCTGTGGGGAGCCTACTGTTGGGAGGCCTCGTGCCAGACCTCCACCCCCAGTTCACTTGCCATCCTTGGACCCTCCAGCTCCACCAGGTCCAACAGGAATGCCAAACTTGTTTTCCCAGCAGCTTCCATGTCCCCAGGGCCCAGTGAATCACCCCTCCCCACCTGCCATCTCCCATTGAGTCACCACCCTGTCACCACCCTTGGGTTCTGAGCCCAAGGCCCCTGGAAGCACCCTCTTTCCAGCCCACCGAAGCATCGCACTGTGCCCTGTAAATGCAGAGAGGCCCTGGAACTGGGGTGACTTTCTCTCTCTGGGTAGGGGCACAGACCCCCGCATCACCTGTCTTGTTGGGTGAGACTCCAGCCACCCAAAAAAGCCCCAGGGAGCCCGGGAACAGCCAACAGGGCAGGCGGCTTTTCCAGGCACAGGATAGAGGCAGAAGTGGGGCCACCCACCTGCACCACTCCTAGTTCCCCGAAGGCATGACTATGTGACGCTTCCACCTTTGGGCAGGTGCCCCGGGGCTGGTCACTGCTTCAGGGAGAGCACTCGGAGCATGGTCAGGCAGTGTCCCCTCTGATTTCCCAGCATCCGGGATGAGGCCTTCGCTTTACCCCAAAGCAAAGGAGAGGAGAGGCCCAGCACAGGAGCCGGCTCATCAGGGGCATGCTGGGAGGAGGAGCCGGGAGTCTGGAGCCCGGGCCTGACCGAGCTTGGTCTGGCACAGGACCACCCTCACTTCCCCGTCCCTGCTGGTGCATGTCCAGAGGCCCCGCACAGGGACGGCCATTGGGGGGGTCTGATCTCTGCCTGTGCCCCCGCCTGCTCATGATCAGCAGCCAGCCTGCAGCGCCAGGGCAGGGCAGGATATGGTCTCTGTGGGAGGGCTGCCGGAGAGCAAGGCTGGGAAACAGCAGGGAGGGGCTCCTGTCACGCAGCACAGAAAGCTTCTCCCATGAGTGCAGAGAGTCAAGGAGAGGATCTGCCGCCCACCCCTGGGCAACAGACCCCGCAGCCTGCACCAGAGCCCTGGGCACAGGGGGCCCAAAGGTGAGGGTCCTGGGAGCATAGGGGAGGGAGCCTTA